CCGCCGCTGCGTGCCGCCGGCGAGGCGGCCCCGCAGGCGCGGGCCGCGCCCGGCGATCCGTCCCATGGGGCTGCGGCCGCGGCGGGCGCGCCCGTCGGCGCTGCGGCTGGCCTGGGCGCGGCCCCCAACGGCGCGTGGCCCGCAGGGGCGGAGGCGGCGGACGGGAAAGCCCAGGATGCGGTCATCCCTCCCATTGACGATGAACACAGCGAAAAGCAAGGGGAGGCAGCAGCAACTGAGGGCATGGCCGATACCGACGAGCCGGCTCCGGCCCTGATTGAGCCGTCTGCCGCGGCGAGCGCCAGCGCCTTTGCCGCGCCTGCCGCCGCCGGGCCGGGGGCGATCGGAGGGCTGGCGGACGGCGCGAGCGGCCAGGGCAGCGGCGGCGGCAGCGGCGGCAGCCGCGACCTGGATGAGAAGTTTGTCAGCGCCGAGCTGCAGTTCATGGGCAGCGGCCTCACCGAATTCATGAGCACCGACATCGACGCCGCGCTGCCCGGCGCCGCGCCGCCCGCCGCCCCGGCGGCCGAGGGGGTCGCCGCGGCCCGTGAGCCGCCGGCGCCGGCGCCGGCGATGGCTGCCGCCATTTTGGTGGCCACCAACGGAGGCGCCGGCGCCGCGGGCGGGCCGGCGGCAAATGGAGGCGCAGGCGCTGCGCCAGCGGGCGAGCAGGAGGGGGCTGCGGCGGGAGTGGGGGCAGTGCAGCCCAAGGATTCGGCGCCCGCGGGGGCGGGTGAAGACGATGACGTCGCGCGACTGCTGGCCAGGGCACGCACGCAGTCCAGGTGAGCAACGCGGTGACCGTGGCATAGCTATCTGCATGCACGTGCACGTGCGTACGAGAGCAGTTGTGTACACGCGCGCACGTGTGTGTGAGTGCGAGAGTGAGTGTTCGTGTTCGTGTGTGTGTGTGTGTGTGTGTGTGCGTGTGCGTGCGGCGACGCATGGTCGATTATGTGTGTGTGTGTGTGTTTCTGTGTGCGGCGGCGCATGTGTGCGTACGATGATGTTTGTGTGTGTGTGTGAGTGTTAGTGTGAGTGTGGATGGGAAGGCCTGTGTGTCTGTTTGTATGTGTGCGAGAGAGTGTGTGCAAACGAGAGAGATTGAGTGTGTGCGTGCGTGCGTGTGTGCGCATGCGCGCCAGATGCGCTGGCTCTGCAATCTACAGTGCCTCATCAGCCCATATGTTTTGGCTCGTTCGCCCGCGTCCCTGATGCGCGGCCCCCTCACCTACCCCCCCACCCCACCCCACCCCTTCCCTCCCCCCAGCCGCATGTCGGCGGACAGTGACCCTGTGGCCAACCTGCTCACAGCAGCCCACAGCCAGTCCTCCAGGATCAACGAGATTGTCCAGGGCGCCACCCCCGGTCGCGATGTGGGCGGCGCCGGGGCCGCGGGCGGCGCGGCGGGGAAGGCGCGGCGGCTCGAGGCGCTGCGATCGTTCAAGATCGCTTCTGAGGATGAGGATGACGAGGACGAGTGATCCGCCAGGCGCTGGGCAGGGCGAGGGCTGGACAGGTCCGAGGCGTTTGTGTGTGGGGATAGTATCTCCTTGTGGGCATTGTATTAGCGGCGTGCTTTCAGGGAGGGGTGTCAATGTCTCGGGGCTGGCGGACGCAACGGCGTTGTCGAGGAGGGTGCAGGGGAGCTTGAAGCGGCGGTTGAGGATGGTTGATTTTCAGGAGGTCAACGGGAGGGGAGGATCCCAACACACAAGCGGTCCCGCAGCCCCTGCGGCGCCGAGACGCTGTGTGCAAGGCAGGCGGCTTGGCGCAGCAGCTAGGCGCTCGCGTTTGATATCAAACCACATGCACGGCTGGAAGTGAGGGCCAGCGCTGCCCTCTGTGCGAAAGCACCAACAGTGTCGCAACGGTGTCGCACGCCGCAACCTTTTGGCGCATATCAATCGTTGCGAGTGCAGCTTATGAATTCCTGCACCCCATGAAGCGGTGTTGCAGCAGGCGCTTGCAGCAGCTATGGTTGACCCTGCCCCACGGCCGATGATGGCCGTTGGACGGCACTCTTGGCCGTCCATATCGTGCAATTGGTGCACCGCTGCTTTTGTGCCCCTCTCACCGCGCGTGTGCGCTGTTGCGAGACGCCGCCATGGGGATGGCTTGCTGTCCGCAAGCGCGCACGCCAGCTGCGTGCGCATCTGTCCTAGGCCACCCCAACGGGCGCGATTTTGTGCCGCTCTCGGCTCAAACCCCATTCCAAGCTGCACCGATTTGGTTCGATGGGACAAAGGTTTTTGGTGATGGACGCAATTGTACCACTTCCGCCGCTAAGCTTTCCACCGCCATTGCCGCATGATGATGTGCCAGCATGAACAAGATTCATGTGTGTCCCGCATTTCGAGGTCGCCAGGCTCCGCCCGTTCTAGGATGCCAGCACTGCACACCTCCGCTGTATGCCCGGCTGCGAGCATAGGTTGGAGTGGTTGGCCGGTGCTTTTTGGCCCCGCCCTGACTAGGATGAGCCTTGCGATACTTGTTACAGCACAAGCCCATATTGTAAATCCAGGCAATATCGACGGCAAATACAAATAGCAGCTGCCAGACTTTCAACGCAGCGGCGGACGAGGTGGCCAGTGCACTGCGCAAGATTGGCGTGCTGTCTCTCAGTGTGGCGGTAGGGTTGAAGCTTCACCACTAAGACTCAGGTGCGGACAGGCGCAAACTGATGATGAGCATGTGAGGGCGAGGTGGGACGCGGTTGCCCTCCTCGGCATGCAGTGGGGCCCACTTGTGGCCCACTGCGCTCCAACCACCCTCCAAGCCCGCGCGGCCACCTGCCCAAACGGTTGCCCAACTTGTGGATCACGCCTTTGAGCGTCGGATTCAAGTACTTAAAGCCGATATGCGACTCTACACACTTACAATATGCTCTGACGCGTTCTGCTCGATAATCCACCTGGTGAGGTGAAGCTGGCGAGGTCGAAGTGGACCACAGCGGCTAGTGGTGAGTGCTTCCGAGGTCGCGGGAGTAACCTCATTAATTTGCACGCACTTTAGCGTGGACTCGCCAAAAATCTGACTTCTCGGTGTGCACCTGGAACCGGTGGACGGCCCCAGCACCCGTCCGAGACCCCACGGTCGAGATCAGGACGGCTAGTGCTGCAATCAATGAATTTGTGGCATGATGCGCGCTCATGAGGGAGCCCTGTGACAGCCTTTGCGATGGCGCTCGACACACCCCGCGGCACACTGTGAAGGACTGGCTCGGTGAGCGAGTTGCTCACCTGACAGCACTCGTATAAGTATGAATTACATCTGGAGACGCCTTGGCTGCTCATGCAGGGTCCTTGCCGTTTGAGCTGCTGACATGCATAGGCTGCACACCATCCAGCCTGCGCGCCCGCTCCCCCACGGCCACCGCGCGTGCAGACTGTACTACATTCGCAACCAGCGACGCTTGCGCCGTCGGGGCGAGCGCGAACAATGCGTTCGTCGATGCATGGCTGTCAAACGGCTGCGTGCGGCCCGTGGCAGCGGTAGGGGCGCCGCTCGCGCCCGGGGAGCCCTGGGTCAGTATGAAACCCTCATCCAGAGCAGGCCAGTTTCTGAACGGCAGCGGCCCTGCTACAGGCAGCCCGAACGCTAGCGGGCCGGAGCAGTGGTCAGGGGCGACAGCCCCCAGACGGCGACGGATCTATGGCATCCTTCGGCCCCTGTCGCCGCCGCGCGATGCGCGCGGCGCGGCCGGCCAGGGCGGCAGGGAGGCGGGGCTTGCAAGTGACAATGAGGGCGCGGGTGCTAACCAGCCAGATGGCGCCGACCGGTTTGAGCCTGCGGCCCAAAAGGCAAGGCCGGCGGTTTCGGTTGACCTGCGGGGTATGGTCCAACACAGCAACCCCGTCGACTCTCCGCCCAGCACGCCCGCCGCGCAGCCGTCGACGCCGCCGGCCGCCACACTGCCGCAAAGCGCTGCGCAGCAGCGGTTGGAGGCGAGTCATGGGTCGTCAGCCCGCAGGTGCCCTGAAATCTTGCCTTCCTCAGGAGTGCAGGTGGCGGCGCTTGTGCCCTCATCGCGTTGCGCCCCGGCAGCGGCAGAGCAGCGGCAGCAGCTGCAGCAGCGGCAACAGCAGCAGCAGCAGCAGCAGCAGCAGCAGCAGGCAGGGGGCCAGCAAGAAAAGGAAGACGATCTGCAGCAGCGCCAAAAGGAGCTGGACAATGGGCTGAGGACGCCAGAGCTGCCACCCCCAAAAGGTCTCCCTGTGCCTGTGCTGCAAGCAGCCTTGGCGGCGCCTGCTGAGGCGTTGGATGTGTGGCAGGGCCAGTCAGAGCCACCAAAGCATGCTGGGCGGGACAAGGTCCCAGCCAACGCAGACGCGGCAACCGCCCGACACGTGCGGGCGCCTGCCGCTGCCGCTGCCGCTGCCGCCGCCGGTGCGACGCCGCAACGGCAACCGCTGCCGCCGCCGGTGCCGGACCGCGGCCGCGCAAGCAGCAGCAGCAGTTACGGCAGCAGCGGCGGCGGCGGGGCCGGGGGCGGCAGCAGCAACAGCACCAGCACGAGTAGCAGCTTGGTCAGGAGCAGCATCGAGGGGACAGACTGGCGTCCGCGTGTGCGCGTCTTGGAGATCGCAGCTCAATTCCAGACTGCTGCGTCCGCAGCTATCACAGCCGGCGGCGGTGGCGGCGCTGCAGCTGCAGCTGCCACAGGCGCGGCCGAGGGCTGCGCCATGGGGCCGCCGCGGCGGACAAGGAGCGCACCCGAGCCGCGGCGCGTCGCGGCCGCGCTGCAGGCGCGCATCGCGGCGATCGCCGGGGCGATTGCAGCCGCGGCCGCACCGCGCGGCGGG